ATTTATTCTAATGCTGTTGCTCATAGTATTTGGTTTTGGTATTTGGTATTTGCTTGTATGATGGCATGCATAATAACTATTATATACATTCCAATCATTTTGGTCAATTTCTGGCCATTCCTGTTTCACCATTGCCTCACCATAAGGTACTACCAGTGAATTCTATAAACAGAAAGATGGAATAACCATGGGGAACCAGTCATAGCAAATTTCTACATGGAACACTTTGAAAAATAAGCCTTGGAAACCACAACAAAAAAGCCCACTACATGGTTCAGATATGTGGATGACACTTTCACTATTTGGAACCATAGAAAAGAAGAACTAAACAAGTTCCTGGACCACCTCAACAGCATCCAATTCACTATGGGAAAAGGAAATGAAGGAAAACTGTCATTGGATTGTTGTAGGATTTTCGGGTTATATGGCCATGTTCTACAAGCATTCTCTCCTGACGTTTCGCCTACATCTATGAGACCTCACAAGCTCTGAGGATGCTTGCCATAGATGCAGGTGAAACACCAGGAGAGAATGCTTCTAGAATATGGCCATATAGCCCGAAAAAGCTACAACAACCCAGTGATTTCAGCCATTAAAGCCTTCGACCATACATTAAACTGCCATTTTTAGATGTCCTAGTCATCTGTAAACCCAATCAACAATTGGGCTGCACAGTTAACAGAAAACCTACAAATGGATATATACCTACAAAAAAAACTCCAACCATCACCCAAGTCAAAAAACGAAGCACAATTAAAGTTCTGGCAGACCATGCAAAAATAATCTATGAACCCCACCGCCTCCAAGGTGAACTGAACCACCTAAACTGGGTTTTACAGGCCAATGGATACTCCACCACAGACATCAGAAGAGCTGCAAGAGCAAGAACAAGCCACGAGAATAAAGACAAAGATCCACCAAGAGGAAAAAGTGTTGTTGCCCTACATCAAGGGAATCACTGATTGCATTGGGAAACTGATGAAGAAACACAACATATAAAATATCTACAGACCTACTAAGAAAATCCAACGAATGCTACATTCAGCAGGATCCTCTCACTTCTGCAGGAGTCTACTGTATACTATGCAGCTGTGGACAAGTCTACATAGGGACCACCAAAGGCAGCATTTCCCAAACACGAATCAAGGAACATGAAAGGCACTGCAGACTACTTCAACCAGAGAAATCAGTCATAGCAGAGCACTTGATGAAGCAAACTGGACACACCATATTATTTGAGAACACAGAAATGCTGGACCACTCTACCATTTCAGGCTATACAGAGAAGACATTGAAACCCACAAGCATGTGAACAATTGCAACAGAAAGGAGGAAACCATGAAAATGAACAAAATCTGGCTACCAATATATTTAAAAAAACTAAAATCAGGACAGTAAATAAAGAGCAACTCGAAAAAAGCAGGGGACCTCCAGACATGAATCAATCAGGGCCAGCTAATCACCTTCCAACAAAGGATTCTCCCAGTCAGCAACCAGCCAGGCTTTGAAGCTGCAAGGCCATGCAATGCCAATTGCAACATTCACACCTGTCTCAAGCAGCCAAGAGTTCTTTCTCCCACCCTGGAAATTCTACAGATATATAAACTTCACTTAGTTTCCAACAGACCTCACAACCTCTGAGGATGCCTGCCATAGATGTGGGTGAAATGTCAGGAGAAAATGCTTCTGGAACATGGCCATACAGCATGGAAAACTCACAGCAACCCACTCTTCTGCCAAAGCTTTCTGCTGCCTCCCTAAACTACAGATCTCTGGATTCCAGAGCATTGAGCCATGGAAGTTTAAGTAGTGTCAAAAAGGCATTCATTCTACAGTATAGAGAAGGCAAGGGCAAACTTTGGCCTTTCAGGTGTTTAGGACTTCAACTCCCACCATTCCTAACAGCCTCAGGCCTGACAGATATTCTTGATATTTTATGAATAAGATTCCAATATCTCAAATGTCCTTCACCTCAAACACTATACTAGAAAGAAAAACATTTCAAAAAAGAAACATGGAATCACATGTGACTCACTCTTGTTCAGATAAACTGGATTATGAGTCTACACTGTCATACAATCCAGTACAAAGCAAATAATTTGGATTGTATATAGCAGTGTAAATGGGGCCAGTCGGGGCTGCTTTGGCTGTATTTTCTTGCATGTTAAGGGGTTGGACTACAAGCCCCATGTGGTCTCTTTTAACTTTATGATTCTATACATGCCACCTCACAAACTCTGAGGATGCCTGTCATAGATGCAGGTGAAACGTCAGGAGAGAATGTCACATTAATTAATTCCATGAAATAGTTCTATCCCAACAGCTTTGGTCCCTTCCACACAGGTGTATAAAATCCCATATTATTTGCTTTGAACTGGGTTATATGGCAATGTGGACTAGGGCCTCTTCCAGAAAGCTGTATAAAATCCACATTGAACTGGATTATATGGCAGTGTGGACTTAAGATAACCCAGTTCAAAGCGGATATTGTGGATTATCTGCCTTGATATTCTGGGGGCACTTCCAGACAGGGCCTATATCCTAGGATCTGATCCCAGGCGTGAGGCTGTTAGGAATGGTGGGAGTTGAAGTCCAAAACACATGGAGGGAGGGCCCATGCTGTTCTAGTCATAGAATCATAGAATCATAGAGTTGGAAGCGACCTCATGGGCCATCCAGCCCAACCCCCAGCCAAGAAGCAGGAATATTGCATTCAAAGCACCCCTGACAGATGGCCATCTAGCCTCTGTTTAAAAACCTCCAAAGAAGGAGCCTCCACCACACTCCGGGGCAGTTCCACTGCTCAACGGCTCTCACAGACAGGAAGTTCTTCCTCATGTTCAGATGGAATCTCCTTTCTTGTAGTTTGAAGCTGTTGTTCTGTGTCCTAATCAGGGAAGCAGAAAACAAGCTTGCTCCCTCCTCCCTGTGGCTTCCTCTCACATATTTGTACATGGCTATCATATCTCCTCTCAGCCTTCTCTTCTTCAGGCTAAACATGCCCAGCTCCTTAAGCCGCTCCTCATAGGGCTTGTTCTCCAGACCCTTGATCATTTTAGTCGCCCTCCTCTGGACACATTCCAGCTTGTCAACATCTCTCTTCAATTGTGATGCCCAGAATTGGACATGACTTCCCTAGATCTAGACCAGGGGTCCACAAACTTTTAAAACAGAGGGCCAGGTAACAGTCCCTCAAACTGTTGGAGGGCCAGATTATAATTTGAAAAAAGCATGAATGAATTCCTATGCACACTGCACATATCTTATTTGTAGTGCAAAAACACTTTGAAACAATACAATAATTGAAATGAAGAACAATTTAAACAAATATAAAATTATTAGTATTTCAATGGGGAAGTGTGGGCCTACTTTTGGCTGATGAGATAGAATTGTTGTTATTGTTGTGTACTTTCAAGTCGTTTCAGACTTAGGTTGACCCTGAGCGAGGGACGGGTAAATGACCTTCGAGGGCCACTTCCAGCCACCGGGACTTAGTTTGAGGACCCCTGATCTAGACACTATGTTCCTATTGATGCAGGCCAAAATCCCATTGGCTTTTTTTGCTGCCACATCACATTGTTGGCTCATGTCAGGCCCGTAGCCAGGATTTCGATTCGGGGCGGGGGGGGGGGGGGCTGAGTTTGTTTCAGGGGGGCTGAGTCTGAGTGAAAGAGGGTCTACCCTAGCAAACCTTTTGTATCGTTACCCCAATATCCCCATGCATATGGGATATATTGAATATGGTGATCAGATCATGATATGAACAAACGTAACAGTTTAAATATAGGGAGCCCCCGGTGGCGCAGTGGGTTAAAGCACTGAGCTGCTGAGCTTGTTGATTGAAAGGTCGCAGGTTCGATTCTGGGGAGCGGTGTGAGCTTCCGCTGTCAGAACTAGCTTCTGCCAACCTAGCAGTTCGAAAACATGCAAATGTGAGTAGATCAATAGGTATCGCTCCAGCGGGAAGGTAACGGTGCTCCATGCAGTCATGCCGGCCACATGACCTTGGAGGTGTCTACGGACAATGCTGGCTCTTCGGCTTAGAAATGGAGATGAGCACCACACCCCAGAGTTAGACATGACTGGACTTAATGTCAGGGGACTACCTTTACCTTTACCTATCATATCTCCTCTCAGCCTTCTCTTCTTCAGACTAAACATGCCCAGCTCCTTAAGCCGCTCCTCATAGGGCTTGTTCTCCAAACCCTTGATCATTTTAGTCGCCCTCCTCTGGACACATTCCAGCTTGTCAACATCTCTCTTCAATTGTGATGCCCAGAATTGGACACAATATTCCAGGTGTGGTCTGACCGCATCTGTTTTTGTAAGCCGCATCGAGTCCTTCGGGAGATGCTAGCGGGGTACAAACAAAGTTAATAATAATAATAATAATAATAATAACCAAGGCGGAATAGAGGGGTAGATCTAGACACTATGCTTCTATTGATGCAGGCCAACATCCCATTGGTTTTTTTTGCTGCCACATCACATTGTTGGCTCATGTTTAACTTGTTGTCCATGAGGACTCCAAGATCTTTTTCACGCGTACTGCTCTCAAGCCAGGCATTGTCCCCCATTCTGTATTTTTGCATTTCGTTTTTTTTCTGCCTAAGTGGAGTACCTTGCATTTGTCCCTGTTGAACTTCCTTTTAGTCCTCCAGGTTCTTTTGGACTTCAACTCCCAGAAGCCCCAGCTGCCTTGGCTTGTGACAAGGCATGCTGGGAGCTGAAATCCAAAAACTGCTAGATGAGCAGAGTGTGGGAAAGGAGTGTATATACTGCAGCAGAAGGGCTGCCATTGGACTTCTATTTCTCAATGCCGTGGAAACTTGGAAGGTGTACTTTCACAAGGTGAGGCGCCTTCTCTGGGGCCTCACCAAACTACACACCGCTGGGTCCCATAGTATTGAGCCCTGGGAGTTAAAAGGACCTTCGTTCTCCAGAGGGAGGCTGGCTCTGAGTCCAAAATGGCGGCGAGGGCGGAGTTAGGCCTGAGAGGAAGCCGCCCCTTCTCACTGGAGGAGGAAGGAGAGGCGAGGCCTGGAGGAGCCCGGAAGCGGGGACAGAAAGAAGGCGCCGTTTGGCCTCCCAAAGGCTTGCCATTCCCTCTTTCGGGCGACCTCGAGGTATAGAGACCACCAGGGAAGGAGGTTCTTCTTGCCCACAGAAGGAAAAGGCTCTCAGCCGCCAGAGGCATGGCTGGCTCTGCTGGGAGGGATGAGCATGGCGCCCCTCCTCCTGCCTCATGTATTTATACTGAAGGCATATGCAAACTTCGGCCCTCCCGGTGTTTTGGACTTCAACTTCCACAATTCCTAACAGCCGGTAGGCTGTTAGGAATTGTGGGAGTTGAAGTCCAAAACACCGGGAGGGCCGAAGTTTGCCCATGCCAGGTTGCAGATAACCTGAGTGAATGTCTACTTCTGGAACTTGTGTTTCCTATAATAGAAACTTAAGTTCTTTCCCCTTGAATTCTTAGAACCCGATTATGTGCTTGTGTAGATAGAAGTTTGTGAAAATGAAGGATGTTTAACTCTTCCCTTTCTAAAAATCTAGATCGAGTCATCTATACGCTCTGCACAAGAAGGCAACAGGAGGAAGATGTTGTCAAGACCCAAGCCCGGTGAATCGGAAGCGGACTTGTTGCAGTTCCAGAATGAATTCCTCTCAGTGAAAGCTTCCCCAGCAGTGAAAATAGTCAAGAAAGCAGATAAAAGGAAAGGGGATGTGGGGAGTGGAGATGATGACAGACCCCCACTGCAGCACGACAGAGATATGGTGATGTTGGATGGTAAGTCTGTTGTAAGTTATTTTATGTTGGTGCCTTAGTATATTGGGAGGTTAGCTGTGACCAGCAGTGCTGTAGAATTTGAAGAGGTACGAATGGAGGGCGAAAGAGAGAAATGTGCCAAGAGGAAGGCGCATCAAGCCAACCCTGACCGGGAAATCAATGCCTTCACTGCAGGAGAAAATGCAGATCAAGAATAGGGCTCCACAGTCACCTATGGACCCACCACCAGTACACTGATCCCGGAAGACTATCCTACTCGGACAATGAGGGATCGCCTAAGTATGTAAGTATTGGGAAAAACCAGGAAACCCTTTTGGAAGCGTGACCCTTTTGGAGATTAATTGGCATTCACATTATTTGGAGTAATCATAAGCTTTTTGGAAAGGCATGACCTTGTTGGAGATCGTAACCCTTTAAAAAGTGTGATCTTCTTGAGAAGAGTTAAAAACTTGCTTGAGTCAACCATCTCCTTAGTGGTAAATATCCATTAGTATCAATGCAAGGCAAATTAGGTTTCTTAGCTGTTAGACTGATATACCTGATTATCTCTTTGAAATGTTGGCAGCAAAGATATGCCAATGCACAAAATATATAGCAGATCTTCAGAAGTGTTATTTAAGTTGCCGAAAAATATATCTACTGTCCCATAAAATATATTGCTTTTAATCATGCTTGCAAGAGACCAAAAAGTAAGCAGTCTTCATTAAAAGTTAACCTAATTGATTTACGTATGAACTTATAGAATCATAGATTTGGAAGAGACCTCATGGGCCATCCAGTCCAAGCCCCTGCCAAGAAGCAGGAAAATTGCATTCAAAGTACCCCCAACAGATGGCCATCCAGCCTCTGCTTAAAAACCTCCAAAGAAGGAGCCTCCATCACACTCCGGGGCAGAGAGTACCACTATTTAATAGCTCTCACTGTTCGAAGTTCTTCCTCATGTATTTAGCATACAGTTACATTTCTTATTGGTTTCATGTTATTATTATTATTATTATTATTATTAAACTTTATTTGTATCCCGCTAGCATCTCCCGAAGGACTCGATGCGGCTTACAAAGGCCAAGGCCTCAACACAACAACAATAGACAATAACAATACGATACAAAGCAAATTAAAAACATAAGCAATAACAAAACATTACACTATTACGCAATAAAACCAGGGCCAGGCCAATGAAGGGTCCAGATTAAAAAGTGCTGGGTGTGAGAGGTGGTATGTTGGAATTCTGGGCAAGTGCAATGTGCAAGAGAGTCTTAAACTCTAGTAAAGTGCTACTGGGACATAGTGCTGGGGTTTATCCTATTCTGGAAAGGCATATAATGTTAACTGAATTATACTCAAAACTGCTCTATACTGTACTATACATCTGCTGCAAACAGACTCCTATGTTAACTGAACATCTCACTGCAGCATACTGACTATATTCTTGCTCTAACTGACATCAACATACTTCACTGACTTCTAACTTCCAACTGACTCAAGCCTGAACTGACTTAACTGATTCCAACTGACTTCTGATTCAAACACATTCTAAAGTGGAATTTCACTCTGAACATTCTAAGATCCGGGTCACATGGTCTGTAGTCCCTCCCACAACCACTAACAACATAGAGTTAAGGGAAAAAATGCATACCAATACATACACACAATATAGTAAACAATCACAATGATATAACAAATAACTAGTAGAGGAGGCTTGTAGATGGTTGCTATTTCCAAAATAGTACAATTTAAACAAAACAGCAAGACCTTATTTGCCTGGAGATTATTATTTATATTGTGACTGTAGCACTGTCTACATGTGATGTGCTATAATGCCATCATGCAACTCAGTTGAAGTTACAGTGGATAGTGCTGCCCCAATGGCATCTGTATTAAACCCTATCCGTATTGTATGAGTAGTGTGACCATTGGGCTATCTCGTTTAGTTTCTGCTATTGCCCTTAATTGGTGACAGAGTTTAACCCTGTTCTCAGTGTAATATCCACACCCTGAATGAAAAAATATAATTTAGGAAGCAGAATTGTATCTGCTACGGAATTTTAAATCAATAAGGGTTTATATGATGTTTTATGTAAAATTGTTATGTAAATTCATGTTGTCATTGTTTTATACGGTCATGTACTGTTGTATTTTATGTGTGTTGCACTTTTGAGTGCTTTTGTGAGTCGCCCTGAGTCTTTTCAAGGAGATGGTGGTGGGATATAAATAAAGGTTTATATTATATTTTATATTATACATTTGGCCTAACTCAGATTTCCTGGTTGCATATACAGTTTGTTCTCATATTGGGCTAAATAGATGACAATCATGGCTGTAGCCCATCAGACATGATTCCTGTTCTCCAGATTTCATACCTCTCAGCGCCCTTCCAGATAGGCCCTCTATCCCAGGATCTGATCCCAGGTTTTCTTCTTTAAACTAGATTATATGGGTCTGCACTGCCAGATAATCTGGGATAAACAGAAAATCTGGGATCAGATCCTAGGATATAGGGCCTGTCTGGAAGGACCCTTAATCAGGGTGGAAAAACTATACCCTTGGTGTTGCATGTGACCCTGGAGCCTGCTTTCTTAGCTCCCAATGCATACAGTCTAGTTCTCTGCACATTGTTTTTTTCCTGGCAATACGAAGAATTAAGTGCTTCTTCTGGGAATCTCCAGGAACAGCAGTTCATTTTTTATTAAGTCACCTGCTACTTCTCATTAAAAAAAACTGAGTTTTTCCTCACTAGAAGTGAACCTGTTGACTTCAGGGGTTTTTGATGCATTTTGTGCAGTCCCCCATGATCCTGGGGCAGAGGATTGGCCTCAGATCCATAGAAGCTGATGACATCCTTGGTCTAGATTTTTAACAGACAGGAACCTGACTAATCTTATATCCACCACTGAATTATCTGATGTCTTCTTTCTTTAATAATTTATAAACTCAACCACAAACACAAATGGCCTGCTAGACTTATTTAAGAACTTAGTTTGTGAGTTTGGCAGTAAGCAAGTGACTAATAATGACTATTGAGAATTGCTACAGAGTTTGGGAAGAGTGTCAAGAATCTAACACATTTTTAGATTGTTCTGGTGTGAGCATACAAAAAAGGTAGATTAAGATTTCTCAAAATAGATTTTAGCAATTTGAGGTAGCTGTTGACACTTATGGTTGTGAAGAACAAAAGATCAGATGTCTGCTAATGGTATCACCACTCCCACCAGTGTATATTTTCAAATCTACAGCAGACAAGCTCCCTCTGAAATTTGTTCAGAGCCAGATCTCATCTGATTAGGAGAATGGGTCTAGGTTTGTTATTTTTTCTTTCAAAACTCTGCAGAGGAGACCTGGTCCAAATGAGGGACCTCTTGTTTAGGCAATGTGTTCTCATGGTTATTGAGACTTGTTATGGTATTAGTCTGGATTATACTTTCCCACAATTGCAATTAACATTTCTAAAAAGAGCATGATTAAAAGAAGGGGCAAAGATTTAAAACCTCCAGCTTTCCAGGGTTCAAACCTATGGTCCTGAGAATAATTGGATCAATTGTCTATAATTTGTGTATGTAACACAAAGAAGTAGTTGAATGTGGGTTGCTGTGAGTTTTCAGGGCTGTATGGCTAAGCTCCAGAAGCATTCTCTCCTGACATTTCACCCACAGCTTTGGCAGGCATCCTCAGCAGTTGGGAGGTCTGTTGGAAACTAGGCAAGTGGGGTTTATATATCTGTGGAATATCCAGGGTGGGAGAAAGAACTCTTGTCTGCTTGAGGCAAATGTGAATGTTGCAATTGAATGGCTTTGCAGCTTCAAAGCCTGGCTGTATTGCTGCCTGGGGGAGTCCTTTGTTGGGAGGTGTTAGCTGGCCCTATTGTTTTATGTCAGGAATCTCCCTGTTTGAGTGTTTGTCTTTATTTATTGTCTTGATTTTTGAGTTTTTGAATATTGGTATATTAAATAGTTGAATGTTGTATATTAAAAGTAACATAGGCTTTGTTTGCAACCAGTGTTTACTTATATTTTGCTTACCTTGGAGAGTAAGATTGTCTGGGGAGCCCTGCTTTCGGACTCGCCTTTTTCGAATGGTGGGGACGAGAGACAGGGCCTTCTCAGTGATGGCCCCTCGGCTGTGCAACACCCTCCGCAGTGACATTAGGTCACCCCTCTCCCTCCTGACTGTCAGAAGGAAAGTGAAGACATGGCTTTGGGATCAAGTCTTTAGAGAGTAGTTGCAGTGCAATAATAGATATGAAATATGTGCAATGACTATTGGAATGACCCTGGACTGTGATTATGGATGGATGGTGTGATTTTAATATTGAATGTAATGTTTTTAAATGTTTAATATGTATTAATTTTATTTTTTAATCTTAATTTTAATGTCATTAGAATTGTTTGTCACTCTAAAGCATTGAATAATTGCCAATATGTAAATTGCCTTGAGTCCCCTTCGGGGTTGAGAAAGCTGAGGTATAAATCAGGTACATAAATAAATAATATCTATCCCTTGAATTGCCCATTCATTTTTAGACCTTCCGGTATCTTTTGGCTTGTTCTTTGAGCTCTTTCCTTGAGTTCAATCCACTATCAGAAAGCATTTGATATACTTATTACGTTTTTAATAATTCGAATAATTGTAACAGTGTCTCATTATCATGAAAGTTACTAAATGGAACATTTTCAGCTTTTTCTATGTTTCTGGAAGAGGAAAAGTACTAGAATTGCTAAGGTTGTGTACATGAACTCTTTTTAATCTGTTTTCCAGACTTTCCTGATGAGCCACCACCTCTGACACCTGGTCCTCCAAAGAAATCCAGATTCAAAGGTACCCGTGTTCATTTTGAGGAGGACCCAGGAGAGCAACTGGATCGTGCTGATCAGCACATTACAGCAGTCTTCAACAAAATAATTGTATGTCCCTTATGTAGGAACTATTGTTAAAATGATGACAGCATCACACAGTGTTGATCAATGTGTTCCAAAGCTGAGTTATATGCAATAAAAATAAAAATGAATTCTCTTCAAGAATAACTTAAAGGCCTAAAGTGAGGGTCGAATAATTGTTGCAGTTAATCATTAACTGGAATGCCTCATACTTCTTGTGTTAAGCCTAAATCTATTTGTTAGTCCCAGTTAAAATAGGCCCATGAAATAATAGGAATTTAATTGGACTAAGTAGTGGAGCCAGGCCAAATACTGCACTTTCCAAGAATCAGATTTAAGAAATTTAGCAAAGTTATTCAAATTTGCATATGTTTATTCATTTTATTACATTTATTTTAATTTTAATTTTATTCATTTTTGTCCTGCTTTTCTCCCATGGGTGGGATTTTCACTGCTACTAATCATAGAATGATAGAGCTTAGTGGTAACAAGTTGCACATAGCATAGGTAAGGTAAAGGTTTTCCCCTGACGTTAAGTCCAGTTATGTCCAACTCTGGGGGTTGGTGCTCATCTCTAAGCTGAAGAGCTGGCATTGTCCGTAGAAACCTCCAATGTCATGTGGCCGGCATGACTGCATGGAGCACCGTTATCTTCCCGCTGGAGCGGTATCTATCTACTCACATTTGCATGTTTTCGAACTGCTAGGTTGACAGAAGGTGGGGCTGACAGCGGAAGCTCATGCTGCTCCTCAGATTCGAAGGTTTTCAGTTAATAAGTTTGGCAGCTCAGCGGTTTAACCCACTGCGCCACCGGGGGTTCCCTCAAATAGCATAGCTCTATTTATGTAGTAATATTTTTGCATAATGAGTGACCAAGTCACATTTCAAAAGTAGTGTGTAATGTCTGGTAGTTTAACATTGATAATTCCTCATTACTTTCTGAACTTACTTTGAAAGGTGTTTTTAGAGACACGGTCATGGGAATTTTTCAGGCTTTGGTTCGAATGATGGTGTGGATTCAATGGTTGGTTGTGAGCAGAACATCATAGGTGGATTCAATCATTTCTTATGTACCTTGTAAAATCCCCTCTGAAAGCTTGAGGGAAGTGTTTGGGTGGGGAATCAAAGGCATTCTAGGAGGAGAAGAAAGAAGGCACCCTCGGTTACACAAAATTGAAGCGTAGATTTATTCTTGCGAAATGATTATGAACTGGTGCCTGTTTCATTCATATAGGTTGGCCATTATAAATCAAGTGTAAAGTCATAACTTAAGGGCTGGGGGGACCTCTACCAGAGCTATTATCTCACAGCTCAGGAGAGATCTGAAGTTGGGCTCAAACTGTTTCTACAGGGTCACACTTGCGTGTAACACTTCAGTGCAATGAATGTTCAAACACTGCAGTCTCTTTGATTTGTGGCAGGAACGTGACACAAGCTCTGTCAGGGTGACCACGCCGGTATTCACAGGAGGGCCATTTCCAACAGTTTTTCACAGGTCTGAAATAAAACATGAGGTAAGAAAAGCAAGTATATGTCAACCAGCTGGCTCTCTGTCTTCTGTTCTTGCTCTTTTTAAAAAGGTTTTGCCTTTTAGTGCTGTACTTTATGCTGGATTTAAACATTTGCTGTTGTCAGATTTCACCATATTCTTTTTTATTGCTGTGGTAATTAATAACAGTTTTCAACTAGGGGTTCTTAACTCAGGGTTTGTGGACCTCTAGTACAGGGGTCCTCAAACTAAGGCCTGGGGGCTGGATACGACCCTCCAAGGTCATTTACCCTGCCCTTGCTCAGAGTCAACCTAAGTCTGAAACGACTTAAAAGCATACAACAACAACAACAACAACAACCCTATCTCATCAGCCAAAAGCAGGCACCCACTTCCCATTGAAATACTAATAAGTTTATATTTGTTAAAATTGTTCTTAATTTTAATTATTGTATTGTTTTAAGTGTTTGTTTGTTTTTTTGCACTACAAATAAGATATGTGCAATGTGCATAGGAATTCATTCATATTTTTTTTTTCCAAATTATAATCCGGCCCTTCAACAGTTTGTGGGATTGTGACCTGATCCTCTGATTAAAAAGTTTGAGGACCCCTTCTCTAGCAGGTTTGTGGATGAATTTCAGGGCATCTGTGAACTGAGCGCAATCATGATTTTTTGAAAATTTCCTTTTTTGTTACATTGGCGTTTTTTTAGTAAATGTCATGCAAGTTGAAAAAGGCATGAGTTAAGCATAATTAATATAATTTATTCCTGTGGAAATCTTGCCCTTTTACGGTCCTCAAATCATCAAAAATTGCCATTCTGAAGCAGTGAAGTCTGTTAACTTTCTAAAATGGAAAACATTCAGATAAGCAGATTCTTGGATTAATTACAGAAAGTTATTTTTCATACATGAGGGTGGAACAAGCTCTCCAGAATTTACCTGTAACCTGGTTGTTTGTTTCTCCAGCTTTGTCAAGAAGTATATGTTGTCAAATATGCTGTTTTTATGATCTAATTTATAGTTATAGGTTATGGTTGCTCTATGGTTGTTATAATTTTATGTGGCTTGTTTTATGCTTTTGTACCATTTTTATCTGTTGTATGTTATATGTGCACCCTGGAGTGCCTTGTAAGCTGCCCTGAGTCCCTTCGGGGAGATAGTGGTGGGATATAAATAAAAATGATTATGATTATGATTATGTTAGGCTTTATATGTATGTGAGGCATACATTTTGCCATAAATATGTTGAAAACTGCTTTGCGTCCCCGTCCCCCCCCCCCCCCCCCCCCCCCCGGGTGAGAAAAGTGAAGTAAGTAAATAAATAAAGATGTTCTCCTTTCTTTTTAGTATACGGCAGCAAAGTAATGAATTGTATGTAGGAGAAAGTGGTTTGCAAACTAAAATACCAGCTTTTTTGTACAGAGTAGTGGTTTAGTCTTTTTTTTAATGAGTGATGCTGCACTGACATAAGTAGAATTGTATGAAAAGGTAATTGAGTATGTTTGCAGATATGTTATGAATAACTTTCCCAAATTGGAAAAGAATATCCCACTTCTGACACCAATTTGTCATGAATGACTTTTCAATAACTTTAAAGAATAAATTCTTTTTATTGCAATTTCCAGTGTGAGAGGGTACATCAGATTACAGAAAAACATTTAGACAGAGAATGACATTAAACATACAGACATACAGATTCTACATTGGATTCACTATTACATTGGCTAACAAAGAAACAAAGGGGATTACATTTTCACTCAACATTCACACACATGTACACGCATTCATTATCAGGCATTCAAATATTACCATATCATTTTCTCCCTCCTTGGAGAAGCACCTGTTAGGTCAGACCCTGTTTTCCTGCAGCCTTCCAATGCATAGTTCCATAACTTCAAAACACTGAATGCCAAAACTTCTTTCCCTAAGAACAATGCCAAGGACCACATCTCTGTTTTCCATACAGTAGAATCTGACTCCCTGCACAAAATCCAAGATTCTAAAAGCGCACTTCTTCCTCTTCCCTTGAGAAAGAAGCCCCACATTGTCCAGAATCATGCTTTCCCATAGCATATCTGACACTCTGCGAATACATCATCTCTCTCCTTCCAATGGAGTAGAGCATGGCGGGTGGAACAGACTCCTCAGGTCTGCCACACTTTGAGCATTATTAGATTGAGTCTTTTATAGGAATATTCTGCTGATGTAGTCCCAAAGTTGTAAATTAATGATAGACTTCTTCCATCCTGGAAACATCTCAGTTTCCTGGCCATATGTCGATCTTCTTGATTGGTATTGAGAAACACAAGGCTTGTGTTGACTTCTTAACATAAGGAATGCTGCAAACATTTCCTTAACTTGAAAGAACCATTGTCACAGTTCTTATCAGAGTTTACTTTTCAGTTCTTATTAGCAACTTTTAATTATAGTCCAGCAAGCAGGTTGTTAGTCATCGCAGGCCTTAATATTGTACTGGTGTCCAAAATTATTAACTCCATCCATACATCCTTCCATTCAACTCATTCATACCCACACATCATTATATCATATTAAATTCACATTTCTCAAATCTGCATATTAATTTTTTGTGACAAATACAGCTTTCCAAATAGTAGGATGGAGGGTTGTTGCAGGCATACGTACATGTAAGAACAAGGATCGGTAAGGTGTTTTGGTCCACATACAAAGTACTGATTTGAGAAGAGTTGGAAGGAAGCTGCGTTTCACTAGAAAATAGAAAGGAGTCAACGTCAGTTACACAGTGCAAGATGCAATTCCTACCAGCTTGGTTACTTTCCCACCCAGCATACAAACCACAGCTCAGTTTTGTGCATGTATCTGTTCTCATGCCTTCAAAGTGCACCTGAGTTCTATTCAGGTTATGTCAAATATTTTTAAATACTATTTTGTTTCAGACAGGATGTAAGAGCAAAAGCAGCATGAGTGAGGAACAATGTGGGCTGTACTCAGCTCATATTGTGGAGGCTTACTTTTCCTGTAGGTTCCATTGGGCACAGTGGGATTTACTTTAAAGTAAATAGGCATTGGATTGTACTTTTAAGCAGAGAGCATATCCAGAGACATGCTGGACTTATCAGAAATTCTGGGCAGCAGCTTTTGGCCCAGTTACCTGTCAGTAGAACTGATGATGTTAAGAAGGGTGAAATCTGCCACAAAATGTTGCAGTACAGGATGTTACTATTCATGGTATCAGCTATGGATGTTTTCCCAAAAGCTGCTCAACTTTCCATTACTGTTGATCATGCTCACTGAATTGCTTAGTGATTTAGTTACTCCTTAGTGCCTCTCTCGTCATTTTCTGGCTTCCTTCATTTCTGCCACCTCTTTGGGTTAGCTTCCTTTGGTAGGGAATTCAAGAGCCTGGCAACAGCTACTGAGAAAGACCTTGCTTGCATTTTCATCCAACTGTATGGCTTAAATTAATAACTCTTGGAAGGTATGTTTTCTTTTTGTATATATGATGCAAACCTGAAAAGATAGAAGGATATCTACATGACCTCTTGTCTTTCTGCAGGCAAAATCAGCACCAGGAAGAAAAAGTATCTTTGCTCAGAAGATCGCTGCAAAGAGGGCAGCTGAAGGGACTCAGATTTCTGTCACTATCGACTGTGATGCAACTGAACGAATGAACGCAGAAGTTCTGGAGGGTGCCTCACATCCTGAATCTTTGAGGGCTCCATTCTTTGGAGATGAAGGTGAATATTTAATTCTGGAGCAGACGTTCTCAAGTGCCTCATGACTTAAACATGTTTGCTGGTTGACAAACATATGGAAACAAGTATCTTTACATGCAAAACCCTCAAGTGTCTTCTGGCATCTAAACTTCTATCCTATGCATGTGTAGAAAGTGGGATGATCTCTGAGTGCATAAAATATTAAATCAATCTAAGAAGTTTGTAACTTTCTGGATTACTGTACGTATAAGTTGAAGTGGGGCTGTTACAAATGTCCCAGTATTGCATATCCAAGTTGCCAGGCTATACTTCCTTGCATTGATTGTATTAGCAAGTCTTGTACTCTTCTGTGCTGCCGACAATTCCTGTTGTTCTGTGGAATTACATTTTGAATGCAACAAGGAATTAATTTCCCATATAGACATTTTACTATTCATACGTTGACTAATAAAATATAGATACTCATGAAGGCATTCTAGTACAGATTGTTGACAATATATGGAAGTACATAATAGCTTTATCCCCCTTCCCTAGCATCCAAAATATTCATGCCCTCTATAACCAATGTTAATTGTAATGTTTTTGTTTACATTTCTTCATATTTCTTAATTGAAAAAAAGAATGGGTACAGAGTACTTGATTACCTGTGTAATGGGTTCATTCAAGGGGTCCCCTATATGAATACAAAAGCACTTCTGTAATCTTAAGGGTGGGTATTTGGGTTTTTTCTTTACCGATTACAAAAGGCCATTCCTTAATACTGTTCCTTTTATTATTGGGATTAGATTTTCAAGGCCAGGTGTCCACTCAAACATACTTTAAGTCTTAATACCTTTTTATTTTCTCTTCTGTCCTCAACTTAGAGAAATGATTTCACAGGCCTGTTTTGAGTGCTTTGTCTGAGAAATCTGCTAATGAACCACTAAATTATCTACTGTTGAGTAGTCTTTGGGAAGGCAAGGTTCAACAGACAACAAGTGCTTTCCTTGTGGCCCAATGATGCAGATAGCTTTCTGTCATTATCTACTTACTATTTTTGTACATTGCTTTTAGGTATTCACTGTTACTGTCAACACTTTTTAATTGTTTGTACACTTGGGAGGCATGGTCTTACAGTGGCTCTGATCCTTCCTGGTGGGCTGTACACAGAAGTGCTGGGGTACTCCTGTTCAAACCCCTGGCTGTTGACTTGTGGGGTTCCTTAGGGTACCGTTTTGTCCCCCATGCTGTTTAACATATAAATGAAACCGCTGGGAGAGTTCATCCAGAGTTTTTTAGTATGGTGCCATGTCTATATGCAGATGACATCCAACTCCTCCTACTCCTTTCCACCTAATGCCAAGGAAACTGTCCTGACCCTAAACCAGTGCCTGTCATCAGTAATGGACTGGGTGAGGACAAACAAATTGAAACTTAATCCAGACAAGACAGAGGTACTATTGGTAAGTCGGAAGGCAGACCAGGGAATAGGGACTCAGACTGTGCTGGATGGGATCACACTCTCCCTGAAGATAGAGGCTTGCAGTTTAGGGGTCCTCCTGAACTCGGCACTGAACCTGGAGGCCTAGGTATCGGCAGTGGCCAGAAGGGCCTTTGCACAATTAAAACTTCTGTGCCCATTCCTTGAGAAGCCAGATCTGGGCATAGTGGCACATGCCTTAGTTAAATCCCATCAGGATTACTGTAAAGTGCTCTATATGGGGCTGCCTCTGAAGAGTGCTCAGAAACTTCAGCTGGTCCAAAGAGCTGCAGCCATGTTGCTCACTGGGGCTGATTACAGGGAGCTAGCAACCTCCCTGTTGCAGCAGGTTCACTGGCTGCCAGTCTGCTTCTGGGCACAATTCAAAGTGCTGGTTATGACTTTTAAAACCCTAGACCAGTGGTTCTCAGCCTGTGGATTCTCAGTTGTTTTGGCCTACAACTCCCAGAAATCTCAGCCAGTTTACCAGCTGTTAGGATTTCTGGGAGTTGAAGGCCAAAACATCTGGGGACGCACAGGTTGAGAACCATTGCCATAGATGGTTCAGGTCCAGGCTATTTGACTGACCACATCTCTTTGGGCCTGGCCCTAAGATCCTCAGGAGAGTCTCTTCTCTCGGTCCCACCCCTATCTCAAGCACGATTGGTTGGAATGAGAGAGTGGGCCTTTTCGGTGGCTGCCCCTCGACGCTGGAACTTCCTGCCCCAGGAAGCCAGAATGGCCCCCTCCTTGCTGTCCTTCCAGCAGCAAATTGAAACCTTTTTATGTATACAGGCTTTTAAAGATGAAGGTGTTTAAGATCAGTTCAGGGGGTGCTGTGGTTTCTAACTTTGAATTTGTTTTAATGATGTTTAGTTGGGATTTTTAAAATACTCTTTATAGTCGTCTTTTATTGTTTGCATATTTGTATATTTTAAATGGTTATGCTGATGCTTTTATGTTAAGCCACTTTGAGTCACCTTTAGAGGAGATAAAACAAGGTATAAATAAATATAATAAAAATGAATAAATTTACCTCTTGGCATATATCAATGTATAATCTTGTATACACTTTCCCATTGATTTGTGCAGGGGAAAGGAAGAAATCACTTCCTGAACTACTATACCTTTTTTCCCTTTTCTGTTATATTTTAATGAGATTGTATGTTTGGGGGCAGGGAACTTCTTTTATTAGTAAAGCACCATGTATAGTAATGGTGCTGTATAAATTAATGATGATGACAAAGTCCATTAAGCAGGATACTGGTTATGTATTTAAGACAAATGGGTAATGTAGAGAATGCCTCTAGAACATGGCCATATAGCCCGAAAAAACCCACAAGAACCTAGTAATTTCAGCCATGAAAGCCTTCGACAATACAATGTAGAGAATGTTTTCCATTTAGAAATATTTATCAAACTTACTGGCAATGTATTTGTTTTCTAGAGAAGTCTCCTGGTAGCTTATCCAGTGGGTGCCCTCGCATTGTTACTGGCGAGGGACTTAGAAGCCTGGCTGGTGAACAAGAGGCCCAAAATATTCACAAAGAGAACTTGGAGAGGCTGAAGTCTATGTCCAAAGAACAAATCCTGGAGGAGCAGAAACAGTTGCTGGCTCAAATAGGTAAAGACTACTTGCTGACTTCTCTTAAACTGTAGGTATATGTTGGTGAACCACAAAAAAACTGTGTTTATATTTGTGTGAACGTTTTTAAGTTCACTTTCCTTTTAAAGACTAGTTCTTACCATTTTAAAAACCCAGTACATAAAGGGTTTATGTACTGGGTTTATGTACTAAGCACTGAGCAATGTTTTTCACATTCTGAAAAGATTTCATCCTCATGTTTTGAAAGATTTGATTCTGGAGGGCTGGGCTGTGTTGTAAAGAAGCCTCAGGTCAGAGGCAGCATGTATGTTTTGCATGTAGTAGAGTCTATATTCAGGACCCTTCCACACAGTCATATAACCCAGGATATCAAGAAAGAAAATCCCACAATATCTGCCAAATATTCCAGTTCAAAGCAGTAAGTGTGGGATTTTATTCATCTGTGTGGAAGGGCACTCAGTCCCTATTTGTTGGATTCGGGCCCTTCTGCATTCAAAACATATACTTTGCCTTTGAGCTATTGCTCCTCTTCAACATTTAATTTATTCTATTTGTATCCTGCCTTTTTCTTGTCAGGGAATTCAGGGCAGCTTGTCGAATTTGAAGTGAAAATTTAGCTAAGAAATGTACTATTACAATAGTTAAAAACTAAGCATCAGTTGTATTAAAATACATCATTAAAACAGTTTACAAAAAACATTTAGAGCATAGGTGAAATCATACAGAGTAAAAACAGGTCACATCTCTTGAACACTATTCTGCCATATGCTTAAAGCCAGTCTAATTAAAAAGATCCTAACATGCTGGTAAAAATAGAACAGGTAGGGGGCTCTACAGGAGGTCTGTCCTTCAGGGAGCTTTATAGGGGCTTTTCGGGAGGTCTCTCCTATAGACCTCCTGAAGGAGAGAATTGAAGAGTCTGAGAGCAGCAACTCAGGACCCTTCCACGCAGCCATATATCCCAAGACAGAAAATCCCACATTATCTGAGTATGGACTCAGATAACCCAGTTCAAAGCAGATATTGTGGGATTTTCTGCCTTGATATTCTGGGACATAGGGCTGTGTGGATGGACCCTGAGAAGACTGCAGACAACTTGTAATAATAATAATAACAATCATCATCATTTATACCCCACCACCATCTTCCCCAACGGCGACTCGGGGCGGCTTACATGAGGTCAAGCCCAAAAAACAAAATACAATAAAATAAGATACAAATTGCAATAAAATAAACAACATAGCATTAAAATATAAAACATATAAGCATATAAACAATATACACAAAACATAAAGAGAAGAAAAAAAACTGTAAACCAAACATAATGACAGTGAGTGGGCCGCATGTACATAAAATGATTTAAAAACTCAGGGTGAGATAAAGGAGCAGGATTATTTGTAAGGGAGAAACCATAGAGAGACAGGGAAATAATCGGACCTTCGAACAAGGGGAGGTGTACTCCTAGGACAAAAATGTTGAGGGAGCAATAGCATAAGATTATGTGACTGCTCTCCGAAAGCGCAACGGCAGAGCCAGGTCTTGAGATTCTTTTGGAAGCTTTCTAAAGTAGGGGCTTTCCTAACTTGTATCTGTGAAAGTGGTGGGACTGAGATAAAGCTTTCATCAGAAGATCTCATGTAGTGAGAGACAATGTTTTAGTTAGTTTGGATTCAAGCTGTGCAGGGTTTTAAAGGTCATAACCAGAACTTTGAATTTTGCATGGAAATGAATTCTACTTGGTAGCCAGTTTCAATGGGGGAAATCTATTTATTTATTTTCTTTATTTATATTCCATCTTTCTCAACCCTGAGGGGTAATCAAGGCGGCTTACAACATACAATATCCAACTGAAAACATGGTTTCAAATTAAAAACATAATAAACATAATTAAAATACATTTCAATGAATCACGTCATCCAGAGTTAGAGTCCAAGGCCATTCTATAGTGATACTGCACATTTTCCATATGAACATTTCTGCACTGCTCTATTTTTCAAAAACATACTCCCAGAGCCAGGTTTTGACTCTCCTTCTGAACACTAGAAGGAAGGGGGCTGCCCTGTTCTCACTAGAGAGGGAATTCCACAACCGAGAGGCCACTACTGAGAAGGGCCTGACTCGTCATCACCAGCTGTGCTTGTGAAAAAGCTGGGACTGAGAGCAGAGCCTCCCCAGACTATCTTAATTTTCGAGATGGTTCATAAGAGGAGATACGTTCATAAGGAGAGATGGTTCATAAGGGGATATACGTTTGGACTATGATCCCTGTAACCAGTTCCATTCGGCAGCCTGGCTGCAGTATTTTGGGCCCATCTGAGCTTCCAAAAGCAGCCTCATGTAGAGTACATTACAGTAATCTGAATGGGATGTCACCAAAGTATGTGTCACTGTTGTGAGATCTTATATCTCATGAAATGGGCACAGCAGGCACACTCGTTTAATTGTTCAGATGCAATCTTGGCCACCGTTGAAACCTGAGCATTTTCAGGTTAAGCTTGAACAGAATCCTGACTTGAAATCCTAGAGGATTACTGTTGGTAAGTGTCAAAAGTTCAAATAGGCAAAAAGGAAAAGTAGACTTCTGTTCAAAGGCCTTTGGCAAAAATAATATCCTCAGTACATTTGATTTAAAAAATCAAAATATAAAAAAATGGACAGCGTTAAAGGAGACTGTTAATGTTGTTTGCAATTTGTTTCATGTTTTTATTATCAGATCCCAATTTACTGGCTTTCCTAAAGTCACGACATAGTACTGCTACAACTGAGGGAAGAGAGGAAAAAAGGGAACATGAAAAGCCATGGAAAAGTATGCATTCGGAAGTACAGCCTGCATTGCAGCAGGAAAAAGGAGAAATTCTGAACGCTAATTTATCTCAGGAGTCAATCATTGAAATGCAGCCAGACACAGAAAAGTCTCTAAGGACTGAAGTCTCTACAAAAATGAATGTCACAGGTAATGAAGTGTGGAGCTATTGGTGTGATAAATTGCTGGCTTGAATCCAATTGTTAGTCCCAACTAAATTAGACTTGTTGAATCGATGGGATTTACATAATGGTTGATTTGCCATTCAGCAGGTCTACTGTAGCTGGAATTTGCAGTTTCACTTTGGCTTTCAAATCTAAAGCAGAGCTACCAGGGAGCAGATCACATTGTGGCTCAGTTTTGTAGGATTTTCATTGCCCAGTTTTTAGAGACCACGAAATCTCAATTCATATTTATTACCCAAAAGCATTTTGAAGATTATGACTTATCCTGGCAGTAATTTAGCGATGCAGTCCAGTATATCCTCTGAAATACCACTGGAAAGTCATGGAGGATGTCTCATTGCCTTCTCTTCCACTGTGTTTTCACATCTGTGCTGGTCAATAAAAGGGCGTGATGTGGTAGAAGGGTTGCAGTAGGTAAAAGGTAGGTTTAGAGATAGCCGAGCCAAGAGATGTGGCCTAATTCCTCTCGGTAGAATTTATGCCACATCACCCTGATCCTGAATATTGCTCTGTGTATTGTGATTTGCCCTCTAAGGAGAGAAAGATTGTTTCAGAATAAGAATGGAGCCAGCTAGAGTTGCAAGTGCTGATAGAGTAAATTTGAATGGCACCTTCGCTTCTTGGCGGGTCATATGTCCTTTGGGAACAATCACTGTGTTTGAGGTTTTTCTGCTGATTCACTCATAATGTTACCTAGATGGTTCCAAATAGCAATATAACCTGCTCTTTGTAAGTGTGCACATGTTTGGGGAACACTTTTTTATACATGTGTTCCTTTTGAAATTCGTGTTTCTACTCTGTGAGAATCTAACAGAGAACTCATCAAGAAATCTATAAATCTCTCTCTCTCAATCAATCATTGTACCCTCTCTACCCACACCCCAATTTCTGGATTCTTTAGTAAAATTAGTGTGTGTGTGTTTATACATATATATCTCATAAGATCATCTTATGAACAGTATTAACCCAGTCAACATAAAACTATCAAATCTAGCAGAAAACTACTATAAAGGTAACATAAAAAGAGAATTCTCAGTTCATTATAGGTGAAAAATCTTGCCAGGAGATAGGTTTGCACTGTCTATATAACTGGGAAGCCTGGGGGAAATAAGATAAATATTATATGGCACCAGAAAGCCCAGAATATAGTAATCAAGCAAGCTTCTCTTGGGAGAGTATTTATTTGGGTACCAGCATAAAAATGCCTTCTCTCTAATCTGACTTTCCTCATTTGTGTGTGTTTGGGGGAGGGGTATCTGGAGAAGGATATCTAAAGAAGATTGTAAGAATTGGATGGGTATATATATATATATATATAGAGAGAGAGAGAGAGAGAGAGAGAGAGAGAGCAGAAGGTAACCCTGGCTCAAAATGTTTCTGGTCTTTAATGGCTAATACCAGAGTTTTGAATGAAAAATCTCTGGCTTCTGAAAATCTTTTTTTTTTTTTTTGGCTCTGTTTTTTGGGCTTAGCTTTATCTCTGATCCCCAGCAGCTGTGTGTTTGAAGTTAATATGAAGCTGTCAAAATTACATACCCAGGCAGCAGCTTCGGAGGAACGATCAAACACTTTTCTGCATGCAAGCATAAGGGACTGGCCTGTGAAATGGAGGAACTGCTTAGGAAATTGGGCCAAATTCGAGAAATGTGTACGTAGCGTGGTGGTGGTTTGAGGTGTACTGACAGCTAGTCATATAACTGCCATTCGCAGTGCTGTTTGACAATGGAAGGGGAAATATACCCGAATGAATGACTGACATAACTGGCTCCCATTATGGCTACTTCAATAATGTAGGATTTCTTAAGGGTGAGCTGTGGCAGCAGCAGGTTGGCTGGCAAACTGTGGTGTTCCCCTCAGACCTAACGTGCTGTGAACATAAAGACCTTTCAGAGCTGCTTAAAATTAGCAAGATAGATGAAGCTTACAGGATATAACAATCCTGTGTGTTTAAATAATATTTTCCTTAGCCAGGGTTACTTGCTTATGCTTGAAGGCATGTAATATGATATGTCAGTTGACAAAAAGGCTGTAGTTATTCATGCTTTCCAACTTCTCCAGATTATATAAAGGGAACTCAGTAAAAGCCAAATACATGTCATGTGTGAGGTCAGATATACTCTTTTAGGTTCAAGTTTGTGTGTGAAAAACCATGAACTCATGCTTGATTTTGTCTTCCTTGCTTTAGAGTAGGATTGGCAAAATTTGGCCACTGTGTCACTTGCATGCCACAGACATTTTTATAGCATTCAGACTTTCAAAAGTCTTCCTTTTTTTTTTTTTTTTGCAAAGGCAGACAAAAACTACAGAGGGGCATTTCCCCCATTGTGTACCTCAGGACAATGTAAGGTTAGAGCTGTCCTTTTTTTGAAATAGGAAGACCCTATCCTGGAATTAGAAGCATTTCAATAATGTTCTCTTAGAGCAGTGGTTCTCAACCTTTGGGTCCCCAGGTGTTTTGGCCTATAACTCCCAGAAATCCCAGCCAGTGTACCAGCTGTTATGATTTCTGGGAGTTGAAGGCCAAAACATCTGGGGACTCACAGGTTGAGAACCACTACCTTAGAAAGTGCTTGTGGACAGACTCCAACATCTTGTACAGGCAGGGGGCTCCACAATTGCCTCTCCTTGTAGAAGGTCAAATCAAAAACCTTAAGATTTTGGTTGTGATGTAATTAAAAACAAAATAGAGACACAGAAACATAGAGTCATATGATTGGAAGTGACCACAAGGGCCATCCAGTGTAGCCCCCTGCCATGCAGGAACACACAATCAAAGCACTAAAAACCCTAAAGAAGGAAACTCCACCACACTCCGAGGCAGCTCTTCCTGTCAAAGACATCTTACCATAAGGAAGTTCTTCCTAATCTTTTTCTGTAGTTTTAATCTGTGTGTTCTAGTCTCTGGAGCAGAAGAGAATAAGCTTGCTCCATCTTGAATATGACATCCTTTGAAATATTTAAACAGTTTGTTGCATGTTCATATTCTTCAGTACTCTGCATCATTCCAAATAAAGTACAGGATTTCTGCCTAAGCACACAGATATGTTGTGAATACCAAACTGAACACAGCCATTCTAGCCATGTACAGTGATGTCTCAAAGTGTGAGAAACCTCTGGCTTTCAAAGCCTTTCTGACTGTGACATCAATGAGATTGTTAAATACCTGGTAGTTAAGAGTAGACCAGTGGGTCATAGTGAATACTCCTGGCTGTCTGTAGCTCAGTGGGTCACAAAGCCCACTATTTAGCTCCAGTTTAAACCCTATAGCTTAGAATTGTTTTCCCTTTTTCCTTACACTTTTTCTTCCTATCTTGTTGCCTACCTTTCCCTATGCATCCTGCACATCTTCTCTTCAGATCTTCAGTCCGTCTCTACTTCTTCGTTCTGCTGTATTACCTGGATCTCACTTTTGCATGGAGACTACTTAATGAGATCTTTGAATCATTTTTGGATTTGAGTGGTGTGGTTTAGTGAGATAAGACAGTGTTTGCTGCTTACTTTTTAAGAGAGCTGCTTTAGTGTGTAAGAGCAGAGAAAAGGTGGATTAGAATTGCCAGAAGAGCGTGTCGCCAGATAACTTGTCTCTGCCACATTTCTTTCACATCAGATTTAATTATTTAATCAATAAGATGCTTCTTTAGGGAAAATGTTAATGTTCCCTCTCCACCAGGAAAAAAACCATTGTTCTTTGGGCCAGGCCATCCTTCAAATTGTGGAGAGTGACAGAGAACATCAGAGATTTGATGAGATTGTATATTTGGCAAGGCTGTATACAATGAGACAAATAGAACTTGCTTCCAAGGAATGAAAGGTGTGTTGAACCAAGAGGACAGTCTCTGTGAGATGACTTAGCATATCACTGCACAAAAGAGGAGCAATTATAAAAATCAATGGTGCTTTTCAGATTGCCTAATGTTATACATGCAGCACATTGCGCCTAGCAGGAGATGTAATATTTATTTCCATTAGCACTTCACACTGGAAAGCCGCTGCTGTTGATGTCAAGAAATGTATAAATAAACTAACAGCAGCCATTGCTCCAGAAGGAAGAAGTTAGTCTGCTCTTGCAACAGGAGGAGACTCAGACAGTCAGTAAGATAGATGACTTTAGTTTTTAAAGTGTCATGATCCTGTATTTCCCCTCCCCGATGGAACCAACCTATGTGCTGTGCCTTTCTCCACTTCCGATTTGAATCCAAAATTATCTGTTCTTACTGGTTTGAATCCATGGCTTAGAGGTGAGGGGACAAGGTGAGCTCCCACTGTTAAACCCAGCTTCTGCCAACCTAGCAGTTTGGAAACATGCAAATGAGAGTAGATCAATAGGTACCACTTCGGCGGGAAGGTAGCGGTGCTCCATGCAGTCATGCCAGCCACATGAGCTTGGAGGGCGTCTACAGATAACGCAGACTCTTCAGCTTAGAAATGGAGATGAGCACCACCCCCCATAGTCGAACTCGACTAGACTTAATGTCAAGGGACAATCTTTACTTTACTTGAGAGAAAGATCTATGCTTTTGTGAACAGATGTTTGAATATGTGCTTTGCATGTAGAAGGCCCCAGATTCAATTTTGGCATCTCCAACTAGGAGAACATAACTTAAAACTACCTCTGCTTGATTTCATAGAGGACAGTTACAATTGTTCAGTAGAAGACTGAATAATTCACACATGCATGGTATTTGCTTTACAGCAGATGTGAATAGATGGAATGTCTCAGATGGGTTTTTGATATTCTTTCATTTCTCTTCATTTGCTGTAGTTTTCAAAAGACACTTCACACTCTAGTTAGGTTTGCGTTATAACCATTGCTTATTGTGAGCACTAGGTCCTTTTTATCTCCTCTTTCAACATGGCTACAAGGAGGAAAGTTAAAACATACATTTGCATTTTTGGCAAAACAGATTGCTTCTCTTCTAACCAGAAAAACTGTTGTTATTCTTAATTGAGGTTTATTGGAGATAA